GGTATATCGATTTTCCATCGGTAGTGGACTCAAAATGAGCTGAATGGGATCAGAGTTAGTGATGAACAAGCTGTTGAAGTTACTTTAATTGGTATGTTTCGACCTAAGGTTTCAAATTTTCACCCTGTCGCGGTCACCTAACCTTGTCGGTGGGTAGCTCTGTTGTAGTTGTCCGTCTCTAAACCACATCCATCTCACAGGGGCCTTCCGTAATTTATTGGTACCGGTCTAAATGACTGAGCAACAGACCCTCGTGAGTACGGACCATCCCTTCCCCACCACGGTGGGCAATAGTCATCAGATAGGCTTTAGTGGAGAAATCGATTTCACAATTAATTAAAACTCCAGTCCAAGGTATACTTCTACATATTTGGTGTTACCCAAATGAGAAATATATAAAACAAATAAGATATTACTGGATTCTATAAATCATGACTGAAGGCAATTTGCAGCGTTCAGGTTCAACCCTGAATGAAGCGACGGACTATCAGTAGACAAAGTGTAGACAGAACGCACTCGACATCCGAGGTCAAGTTATCTTTTGCCGCTCTGATGTTGATTCAATTTCGAAAGAGTTGAAAAACTGAAACTAACAGGCATGAGAACTGAGCTATACCATAAACATATCTTACCATCGACAACATAAGACAAAATAAGTCAACTTTAAATTGAGAATGAATGAAAGAACATACGGTGCGTTTCACCGGAGCGGGGAAGTGCGTAAGTGAGCAAGGCCAACGTCTGGTCACGTGTAGTAGGGTCTGATCTGGAAAAGAAAAACATCAGTTGACCATACTAGAGAAAGTGAGGTTAAGGTAACTGTACGCCGTTAGGACGGATCTCACATTCGGTTTGCATGTTCATTCAGCGGAAGACAAGTAGATGATTCAAAGCCCATGTTTGGACTTCGCCGATGCTTTTGCACGGCGCGTACGCACGTGGGCTCAAACCTCATCGAGGTTAATGAATTTTTTACAACTCAAACGTAAGACGCCAATCTGGCAAATATGCACCAAATGCAAGAATCGCAAAGGTAAGAACGAAACTGTTTAGAGAAATTGATTGCAAGAGCTATGGATAAAGTAAGGAGCTTCAATTTGCTTTTACAACCATTACGATGTACTTGCGTACGCCGGTTTTGGTTATTGACTCTGGGTCGTCTATCTGGAGGAACGAGCAAAGGGAATATCTCAATTTGTAAATCAGTGTTGGGATAAAAGAAGAGAATTCACGAAGACCAATGTTTCCAAGAAGTTGAGATGCATGAGTGCAACTCTTTACGACACTCAGTGACATCAGTGTTTCTAACCACCTGATGTCCCCATCCAGGAAGCCAAACGAGACCTACGGGACCAAGCCTCCTGGTCAGGCTTTTCATATCCTTGTTCAGGTCTTAGTTTGACCGCTCTTCACATTTTTCAACTAATCATCTGCTTTGGCAAACGAGCGTCATAGCAGTCCTATTTGGTGACGTGCGCAACACATGCCAACCAACGTAGTCTGTGGAGGTCGCCCACTTACTTCAGTGAACGATCGCAGTTACCTAAAGGTGGGCGCCTACCCTCAGCTTTTCTCGTTTAGTCTCCCTACCAGACTCGTGCAATGCGGCGTAGACAGCGGTGTTCAAACACAGTTTATCTTTATCCAGCGTTCTTAAGGGCTGTCTCTGTGCCGTTCATCAGAACTGACCGAACAGCTGTGGCATACTCGACCCTTCACAGACAGCCGGATTTTGTGGCCTAGCCACAGATGTCTAAAGTTGGTAAATTTCAATCGAGCCATTTACATGCGTACCGACACTCAGTCCGTGGAACACCGTGGGATGAGGTCTAGCTACCCAAATGGAGAAAATTTCAATAAGCTACCCGGTGGCCTCGGTGATCTATTCCTAATAGAACAGAAAACGGTTTATCGTTATTCCAGCATAAATACGATGACTGATAAGAGAATCGCATTTATTATCACATACTTAAATCAACAAACTACAAATAACAATTCGCAATATAAAGGGGTTGTCGCACAAGCATGGCGGAGATTAATAGTGAAGAAATCGCCAATGGAAACAAACTCACTTTTCGATGAGCTCAACAAGATGAGGAAAATCTTGACGAGAAATAGCTGCAGGAACCTCAGTTAACCACTTTATCGATCCGTCCGACCCGGTCAATTTATCCAAAAGCGTAAGTGGGGACAAAAGGTCCTGAAATTTGGCAGTGAGATAGCGCCGAGATTAAATCAGAAGAAATGCACCCAAACTTGACGAATTTCGTGAACTGACAAATACACAGAAGCAATATAATAACATCCAATGGTGATTTATCTTCCAGATTCGATCAGGAACTGTCTATATCATCTACAAATGACTCCAGAAAGTTCTGGTCAACAACGATCTACTGCCAGCAGAGCCGTACAGTGCGAGCACGTCTCCGGTAGTGGATAAGACCATGGCCACTTTGGTGATTTTTCGTGAATGGGTGCGATGTGCGTCGCTTCACTGCATTAGCAGTGATGGACGATCACTGGCGACACCCGAGGACGTCATGTGCAATCCACTGGCACAATATTCGCAACAAAAGCTTCATGTGAGCGAATATGGCTCACTACTAAACAAGATCACGGCCATTACTCTGATGCTCAGTAGAATGAAATTGAATCATTGCACATATCGAGGGATCGCCTTACAACCTCTAGATATATATGTACATATATTACTGGCTTGGGAACAATCATGGTGCCAACGCCATGATTGTAATGGTAACAAAGGGTACAGAAAGATAAAAATGAAAATGGGGAAAGCAGAGAACAAGGGGAATAAGTGAATGAAATGAAAAATCATCCTGTAATAGATTAACCGTACACTTTTTCTCCGTTAAGGAGAACGGAATTCTGACAAACTAACCGCACAGCAACCGCGCCACTGACATCTATTCTAAGCCGTATTTCTCATTGATAGCGCAGTGGTTTAGCCGCTGTCACTGGCGTGCGAGTCCCGCCAGCGCCACTCGGCTTTGGTGATAGGCAGTTTTCCCGTCGTCCGGCTCAATAAAGGGGCCTTATGTCGTTCGCCACTCTAAGTATCGGAGCTCTGGTTACTGGTTTCCATCACCGAACAGCAGGTCATCGCCACTATGGAGTTTACCCTGTCCGCTGTTCATCACACAGTAATGTGTAATAAACAACCGGTAATCTTCACTCCTTGGTCCCTAATCCGGAAGGCGAGATCCACCAACCGAAACCAATACTGAAGCAACCCTCATGCCTACATGCCAGGTCATGGACTGATCGCCGCAACGATTCTTCCAGCCTTGCCCAACAGGTGCAAAGAGGGCACGGAGAGGTAGGCATGGGACAGGAAGAGCTCTCTGTGAGATGGCGAAAATCCAACAATCGGGGATATAACTAGGTTGACGAACCATCGGCAGTTCACCTAGCTGAGTTGACTAAAAACTCTGATTCCAAACCAACCAAGAGGTGTACGAATCACACACAAAATCGCGGTAATGGCAGCGGTCACAGGCTTGATTAGGCATCAAGGTGTGTTAGGTACCTTGGACGTATGACCCCGTTCAAAGGGCGTATGATCCAACGAACCGGAAACCGGCCCCAGTGGACTGCGGACTCTGAGCTTCGTCCTGTTGTCTCTCAGATGTGGCTTTCTAACCATAGGTTTCGAGTGGGGACCCCGAGTTTATCTCCTCTTTTCATTCGGGGCTACCGGGGAATAACATGCCCATACAACCGACGAACACATTCTAGAGATTTTTGTTCGTATGTTGTGGCACATTTGCCAGTTCTGTGTAATTGATTACGTGTTAAAATATTGAATAATAATAATAATATACACCTCTGTGTAATCTCCGTTTACCCACCAAGAGTGTTAGCAGAAAAATCTACTAGAGACAATTTTCACGACTACTCAAAGATGTAGTCTACGTCTCGGGACGGCAGAGCTGTATGCTAACGAAAGTCCATAAGTCGCGGAAATGGGAACGACCGTCATCTCGCTGTTAAACGTGAATCAGGTGGGCTTAGACCCTTCGAATAAGCGATCGATTTCAGTTTCAGTTTGTACAATCATTAAACATGCACTTCCGTGCTCCGGTTTTGGTTGCTCTTTTTTGGCTGCCCATTCGGATGAAGAATAGGACAAGACATGAAAGTTGGAAGTAGAGTCGAACAGAAAATGGAGAATTTCAGCGGTCTAAGGTTTCAAAGAAATTGAGGAGATGCACGAACTGCACTGTTTATGATACTCAGCCATATCACTGTCTCTAACCATCGGTTACAATCATCCCGAGGTCTCCAGCCAGGGAGCCTAACCCAGTCCCCTGGTCAGGGTTTTCATACTCTCGTGCCGGGTCCTAGCTTGGCCACCCTCGACTTTCTTCCACCCACTACTTGCTTAGGCGAACATCGCTCGCCGTGGCAACCTATCTGGTGACATGCGTAACACATGCCCCAACCAACGTAGTCTGTGGAGGTTGACCACTAACTCAAGTGGGTGCCCGCCGATACCCAAAACTCTGCGCCTGCATCTTCACTTAGTAGCACAATGTCGTCTGCATACTCCAGATCAGACAGTCTGTCACCTGGGATTAAATCGATGCCACTTTGTTCGTAGGAGGATAGGGTTGTTTACATAATCAAATCTATAACAAAGTTGAACGGAAAAGAAGAGAGAGGGCAACCCTGACGAACACTACTTTCTGTGATGAACTCAGGCGATAAAGTGTCCTAAGCCTGTAAGCGACGATCAACGGCAGAGCTCGAGGATGTGGCGGGATTACCTACTGGCAAAGGTTCTCCGCACCAAACACCACACATATCCGTGGACAGTGCTGTGACGTGGAGAGTCTCCTATCACCAAATATGGCCATTTCCCCTAGTTGATTGATTGTTCGACAAGGTTTTTAAGGTTCGAGTGAATGAAAACCTGGCCATCAACTTATTTGAAAAATCACTGCTACGTTGCATTTCGCGCAAAGCCCAGAGCACTCTTGAAAAAGCCTACTATGAACCGGGTGACAGAGTAGTGCAATAACCCACACCGCATACAACCATGAACTCACCTGTTCTTACGAATCTCGACGTCAAAGCTTGTTCGCACATAATAATGATTATTACTATTATACGTATATATATATATATATATATATATATATATATATAGTGATATTCCAAACGTGGTCTTTGAGTCATCAGCGACCGGAGGGCACAGGACTATCGGACACATTCAACACAACACACTATGGAAATTTAGTCTTGATCGTCGATACATCATCGGGGAAAGTCTGATCACATTATGCAACTTCAATCGATCGATTGTCTCCAGCACATGAAACCAACATCGCAGAACAGGATATCAGATTTACCACATACTAATACGATCCCTCTGAGGGTCATTGATTGGTTTTTATGTATACTGCAGTGCGGAGAGTGGAAATGGCAAAGGAACGGATTACACACAAACTCAGACTCGCACTGTGTTTCACTCAGCAAAGTGCCTTGACACTTCCCCCAACCCCGGAAAAGATCTGCACTTAAAACTTGGGCTTTTCAGAGGAGGCACGGGGTTCGGGAACGCTGTTTCCGTATGTGACTGCAAATGCCCTGACAGTTAAATCTACAACTGCAACTAACACCCGTGTCCGTCTTCGTTAGTCTTTTCCGGTGTCCGAAAATGGAACCTTTGTTGATTTATCCTCGGATTATAGTGTGTATGTAACCATGACCAAAAACACTCACTACACCGACTCATCTTCAACTAAGAGTAACAGCAGATAATTGATTTATTAGCTGCAGCGAATCGAACCGACGGTAACTTCGCCCGAGAAAATGTCTAGGGCCACACACCAGTGCTATCGTCAAATAACTATGGAAATGGTAAGAATACATCAATGAACTGAAAGCAACGTGAGTAGTCCGAATGAATCATGTGTGAACTGTATTCAAGCCAGTTTACCAATAAGAACAACTGTTTGAAATAATAATACATGTAGCGAGACAAAAATAGCTTACCGATTGCACTGGATCCAACAGATGGACAGCCGTGTACATAAAAGCTTGATTCTTCACATCCAATTGTGATAGTTCAATTTTCGCTTCAGTCATGTCGTCATAGAATTGACGAGCTAATCGCAGAAAACGTGGCCGAATGCCTGGGAGACGATTGGGAAGTTTTTCGTGAGCATGAAAGAATGAATGCTTACTGCTTTATTAAACATAGTGAACCGAAACATGCTATGGTAAATGGTGGTGAAGTGGGTTACAACTGGTTGTAAGATCAAAAATGTTCTGAAACCAAACGAACAACAAGCGGATTGCACGGCGTGATTCGGTACGAAAAACTTCACTATAAACACCCTGTCGTACAAAAAGAAAATTATGTCAGACATGAAAGGGTCAGTTTTGAGCGAGGAGCAACTGTAAAACCTGTCTTGAGAAAGGTTACCCACGGTAACCGAAACGTCGGCGAATATAACTCTCTACCGACCTCGTTGTGTTATTAACACTATGACATTCATAGCAATGCGAGTGATCTAAAATGCTGAACGCATTGAGGAAAAAATGTGTCAATTATTTGAAACCTAAGAATTTTAGTAATCTCTAAATAATTAGTGCTGAACTTGTACTTTAGTCTCCAGGAAAGCACAAACAATGCTCACATTTGTTTGCGATTCAGGTGGCCAAATAATGAAAGAGGATATGGGAAGGAACGTTTCGTTTATGAGACAAAGGGAGAAGGACCAATGAAATAGTCCTGCGAAATATTTCCAACCGTACATCTCAGTAACTGAGATGGATGAGTGGCCGAAAAATCGCACACAATCCCTAAAAGAAGTTACTTACTTATGGTTGCCAGCACATCGTTGAAAAAGGCCGGGACTAAATCAGGATGATGTTTTGACAAAAACTGTAACACGTTTGGTTTCAAGGATGGCTGAAACAAAAGAAACAATACAAGCGGTGATCAGAGAAATGGTTAATCTTAGGGGGTAAGTACAAGTAAGAAGTGCCTGGTGAGTACTTACTTTCGCACCAATCAGCGAAGCTAATTCTTTTGTTAGGCAGTCTTTCGGAATGGTATCCGCAGCGCGCTGAAAAAGATTAAAAAGTTACTTTTTAACCATTCTAAAACGAACCCACTGAAGTAAAATCAAATAAACCTACATTTGTTCATTTAAGATATGGAGTCTTTCGCCGTTACAGGACACATGGCTTACATTTTACTTTTACTTTTGATCGACTAACTCCTGCGAGAGGATAAGTCGGCTTCTTGGATGTTTTTAATAATGGCAGCCCATGCGTGACGATTGGCGGCAAGTTTGGCACAGTGTGAAACCCAGCTCTGGTTCCAGTTGCGAGTTCCATATACGGATTGGAGGCCCAGCCATTCGTAAACCGCCTTGATTGTACTACTCTAGGTCTTCAATTGACCACCGAGTCGTCAATGCCATCTACGGCACAGTGCGGGGGATACAGCCTGTCGCGAGAGTTAAGTGTAGGGTCTTCGGGGCACATAACCAAACCACTGAAGGAGCCGGCGTGTAGCATTTTTGAAATCTTTTCAATGTTCAAACAGTGCCGTCGAATCTCATCATTGGAAATCCAATCTCTCCAATTTGCTTTCAAGATGCGGCGTAAGCACCAATGATCTAAGACTTCGAGGTTCCTTGTATCCTGTACTCTTGGCGGCCAGGTTTCACAACCAAATATGAGGATGGGGCGGATGGAAGCCTGTTAAACCCGAAGCTCAGTGTTTAAGCTTATTTCGCAACGATTACACAACGGTTTGAGGAGTTGTAGGAAGGCTTTCCTAGCTCCATCTACACGGAGTTGGATTTCATTTTTAGCCTGGCCGTTTGGTCTTATCGTAGAGCCAAGATACTTGGAAACTCTAGTGGATTCGACAAGCTCCCCGTTTATCAAGAGGGGTTGTGTCATGACTGAAGTTTCGGTCGAAAATGTCTTCGTTTTCGACGGGTTGATTTCTAACCCGATGGACTGGGCAAACTGATCTATACGGTTGACAACAGGCTGGAGGTTGTCCATGGTGTCTCCAAGTACAACGGCATCATCGCAAACTCGAGGTCCGCAATCTATGTACTTGGGCCAAGCTGCACTCCAGGGTAGTCGATGAGTGCTTGTCGCATTATACAATCTACGATGTAATTAAATAACACCGGGACAACCTTGCCTAACTCCAGAGTAAACTCAGCCGATTCTTCTCCATAGGTACGGAAGCGTGCCCGGGTTCCTGAATAGTAAGACTTTAAAAGCCTGATGAACTTCCCAAGCATCCCGTCGGACCACAATATGCACCACAAGGATTCTCTATCGCCAGAGTTAAACGCAGCGCGAAAATCAATGAAACATGCAGTGGTAGGCTGTTGGAACTTGTAGCAGTGTTCCAGAATCTTACAGAGAGTGAAGATTTGTTCAACACAGCCTCTTCCGCGGCGAAGCCCCCCCCCCCCTCGGTTCG